GGGCTTGACTCGGTACCGGCTGAAAAAGCCCAGGGGGTGGTTCATGGTGGTGGCTTTTTCTCCGCGAAGTTAACGATGTATTTTATGGTTTTTCCTTTTAATTGCAGCCTCCTCAAGCCAAACCCCAGTCTGTCAGTGCGCCAGGCCCCAGTCAGAGCGGAGGATGGGAGCAGGAGGAGGGCTGGGTGTAGCATGGCGCTGGAGGAGGACAGCTTTTGGCTCTGTCCTCGGCCCCGTGGCACGCAGGATGGACGGCTTGAGGAGGGCGACTTGTGCTGTGCTCCAAAACCAGAGGAGTTGGGCCGTGAGGGAAATCTGGGCACTTCAAAAGCCAGTTCCTCAGGGCTCTGGGTTACATCTCCCAGGGCACCGTTCCTCACAGCAAGAATAACTCGCCAAGTTTTCCAGTCTGACTAGCCTGTGTGGGTCGTGTTTTGGCTTTCCCCACTTTTGATTTAGTTGGCAGAGGCCAAATTCACCAAAAAAATGGTGTATTTTGGGGAAAACTGGTTCTGGCTCCTGCCTGTAACATCTGCAGGAATGGGCTGGCCTCTCTACCCTTGTGTACAGTTCAAACCCAAGATCGTTAAATATTTATACCGTGTACTGTGGATCTTGTATCTGTACAGGCCCTGTGACAGCACAAGTGTTTTCAAACCCCGTTTGGCCGTGGTTTCCAGGCTAACCCTTCCAAGTGCTCTTTTACCCCCGCAGTAACTCTCACAGCAAGCTGCCTGCCTGCGGAGGTATGTAACGGAGGGACAGAAATAGCAGGGGTTTTTGGGACCAAGTCCCAGCTGAGGCTGGAGGCCAGAGCGTCAGGGTTACCGCAGTTAAAACCCTGTATTTACTCTACATGGGCAGGAGAGATTTTAATGTATTTTTAAAAAACAGGCGAGTGGAGCCTTCACCCCTGCAAGGCAGCACACTGAAGGCCGGATTCTCCTCGTGCAGCATTAGCCCTTGCAGGCTGTTGCTGAGAGCATATAAAAATCCTGCCAGGGAGGGCAGGATTTTAACCTGCTGCAATAAACACAGAAACAGCCCCTCGGTTGCGCCGAGCCCACCACAACACTGGGAAAGGCTCCCTGCGGGGACCAGGTTCTCGCTTGGCAGCAAAGCTTGGGGTTCATGTCAGCCTCCTGCAAAGCACTGGTGTTTATTTTAAGTGCCCTTTCTGATTCCCTTTGAATTCCCCCTTGTTGTTGCTCGAGTTAACCCCATCTGTTCGCCTGGTGTCTTGGAAGGGAAAGGAGCACGTGGTGCTGCTGCGGGCTGGCCTC